ACTGAATTCAGTTACATGTGTGAGCAATAAAGATGTTACTTAATGGTAATTGGTTTTAGTATGTGGTTCCAGGATTCCATTAGTGTATTTATTTATAATGGTCATTTGTTTTAAAAGCAGCTTCTTTTTAAATTTTTTATTGAATTTATTGGGTTGACACTGGTTAATAAAGTTATATAGGTTTCAGGTGTACAATTCTATTTCAAATGATCAGAAGCAGATCTCAGGGGCCTAAAGACCAGAAAATTGTGCTGGGCCCTTTCTGAGTCAGATTCCTTTTCTAAAAGGATACTCTGGCCTAGGTGACCTCTAAGATCCCCTTCACCCCTGATTCTTGATGAAACTTTTTCTTTCTGTTTACTTGACACTACCCCTTCCCCAAACCCCTGCCTAAAGCAGAGCTGCCCTCACTCTTCACTTGACACCTCCTTAGGTTGTGCTGGCTCCCCTTGTCATCTCAGGCAGCATTATAATCACCTCCCTGTGACCACCATCCCTTTATGATCTGACCACTTAGGCTTTTTTTTTCCTTTTTAAAAATATTTTCTTGAAGAAAACCATCCATATCACTATTATTACCAAGGTGCTTTATTAACATAATCATGCTACAAATACGAATGTTATAGTAGAAAAGAGCATTGCTACTCAGTCAGACAAACCATATTCCAGTAACTCTGATGAACTTCACCTCAATTTGTTTCACTTTTGCTCTACAAGTTAAATATCAATAGTGGTAACTATCATATAGAGTTGTTGTGAGGATTAATTGACAGAATACTTAGCATAATGCCTGGTACTTAGCAAATACTCAATACATGTTAACTGCTGTTCCTAAAATAATTGTCATCATATTTATTATTTCTATTATTATTACAGTAAATAGGTCCCATTCTACTTTTCTAACTGCAGCAAACTGAATCATCTGACATGTGTCTTTTATTGATACATAGTGGGGGGCGGGGCGTCAGTTGCCAGTTCTGGTAAGAAAATGGCATACTGTGATTATTGACGAGTACTCTGAGTGATGACTAAGTGAATCACATGCCGCACAGTGATAAATCATTTTGCTACTAAAATATTTTCCAGATTTCAGAACTATAGATATATCCTTATCCACTATAAAATAATCTCTCAATGATTCTACCTACATTTAGAAAGATCTTTATTAGCAAAAGATGTGTTCCAACAGCATACTTCTATTAACAGAGAAATCCAGTAGATGAATGTGTTCCATGATGTCAGAAATACCTTTAATGATATAATTAAATACTATAAAATATCAGATTATGTGAAGAAATAAGAAAACATATTGCCAAATGAGAAGGGTGATTCTGAAGTGGAAGCCACAATAAGTGGTACAACATTAAAAAAAGAAGACGACAAAGTAAAAAAACATCACTGCTTTAATGTCTCTGTGCCTCCCCATGCCCTTCATGGGAACACAAAGCTGCATTCTCCATGAGCTCTATGAGTGGACGAACACTTGCTCTTCATACACAATACAACTGTGAAGCCCACACATCCATTTCATACTATCTATAAACAGAGAATTCCAAAAGCAAGCCAAACTAACAGGGTCGCCATTTTCAGTTTTTACTGTAATTTTCGATTGACTGTATATTTCTTTAAAACCATGGGTACTTAGCTGTAAAGATGCCTCATTTTGGCAGGGTGCATTAGCTGTGCTTACACTTAATATCTTAAAGCACATTAAACCCTAATGAAACAACAATGCCATTTAAGGAAAGAAGACAGAACTTTATAGTACTTACATATACCTACATAATGTTTCAAGGCCTTTCATGTTAGGAACAAGCAGTTTTGTGACAAGGAAGTAATTACCAGATCAAAGTGATCATTTGTCATAGATGTCACCATTATACAACATGGTCTGCCAGAAATCAGAGTGGAAAGCAGAAACATGCAAACAAGATTTTTCTTCTGCTAGGTGACTATGGGCTTTCAATTGTTCTTGTAAAATTAATTAACACTTCAGCATGTTTCTGGATAGTTCCTTTTACAAACACATTAATATGTGTGCTGTTTATATGTACACGTGTGTATGAATACATATAAATCTGCAGCTATAGTAAAATGTACTATTAGTGTTTGACATAAAAACATCAAAACATAAGCATTTAAATGGGTGTTGGGTATAGTATCCTCAATGGAATAACCTTGTTCCCATAGGTCCTTCAACCCAGCGGTCGCCAACCTTTTGGACCACTGGTTGGCGACTGCTGCTCCAAAGGTTTCCTTAAACCAGCAGTCGCCAACCTTTCGGACCTCACGGACCACCAGTGGTCTGCGGACAACCGGCTGGCGACCGCTGCTTCAACAGACAAGGCTCTAGAAGAAGCAAGTGTGAGGTAGTTAGTAGTACGAGCCAAAAACTAGGAAGCAGACGAATGAGGTTCTATCTCTGACCTACAAAACTTTACTAACCACCATAGATGCCAGTTTTATCCTATCTAATAAAAGAGAAACATGGTAATTAGCATACGTCCGCTACCCTTCCCATTGGCTAATCAGGGCAATATGCAAATTAACTGCCAGCCAAGATGGCGGCCAGCAGCCAGGCAGCTTGAAACTAACATGAGGCTTGCTTGCTTCAGTGACGGAGGAAACCAACGTTCCCCGCCTGCCTTGGCGGCCTCTGAGCCTGCAGTTTAAGAAACATTGTAACAAATATAGAAGCTAAACAAAACCCCAGAAACCAGCTTTCAGCGAGCCGGGATCTCAGAGCTGGAGTTATACATTGTTTCGACTATAGAACCTAAACAGATCAGATACCTGCCTTCAGCAGCTGAGACCTCAGAGCTGGAGCCTCAGAGCTAAAGCTGGCCCAGAATAAAATAAAAAAAAAGAAAGAAAGGAGCAGTTGGGAGCTTCCATCGCCCGCCAGCCTGAAAACAGCCCTCAGCCCCTCACCCAGACTGGCCAGGCACCCCAGTGAGGACCCCCACCCTGATCCAGGACACCCTTCAGGGCAAACCAGCTGGCCCCCACACGTGCACCAGGACTCTATCCTATATAGTAAAAGGGTAATATGCCTCCCAGCACCGGGATCAGCGGAGCCGCGAGGTCTCCCGGCACCGGGATCAGCGTGACAGGGGGCAGCGCCTAAACCCCCTGATCACCCTGCGGCTCTGTGTGTGACAGGGGGTGGGGCCACAACCTCCCTATCCGCCCTGCTCTGTTCGTGACAGGGGAAGGCACCCCAAACCCCTGATCAGCCCTGCTCTGTGCCTGATACGGGGGAGCTCCCCAACCCCCTGATCGCCCTGCGGCTCTGTGTGTGACAGGGTGCGGCACCCCAACCCCCTGATCGGCTCTGCTCTGTGTGTGACAGGGTGCGGCGCCCCAACCCTGCCCCCACCCCACAGGCCCTGCTCTGTGTGTGACAGGGCAGAGCCATAACCTCCCCATCGGCCCTGCCCTGAGTGTGACAGTGGCAGCGCCCCAACCCCCTGATCGGCCCTGCTCTGTGGGAGATAGAGGGCGACGCCCCAACCGCCCGCCACGGGCCCTGCTCTGTGTGTGACGGGGTAGAGCCATAACCTCCCCATCGGCCCTGCCCTGAGTGTGACAGGGTGCGGTGCCCCAACCCCCTGATCCGCCCTGCTCTGTGTGTGACAGGGGGCGGTGCCCCAACTCCCCTATCGGCCCTACTCTGTGAGTGACAGGGGGGAGCTCCCCAACCCCCTGATCGGCCCTGCTCTGTGCGTGACAGGGTACGGAGCCCCAACCCCCCTGATGGGCCCTGCTCTGTGCATGACAGGGGGCAGCGCCCCAACCCCCTGATTGGCCCTGCTCTGTGCGTGACAGGAGGTGGCACAGCAACCTCCCCATTGACCCTGCTCTGTGCATGACAGGGGCGGCGCCCCAACTCCCCAATCGGCCCTGCTCTGAGCCCGACCAGGGGCTGCACCTAGGGATTGGGCCTGCCCTCTGCCACCCGGGAGCAGGCCTAAGCCAGCAGGTCCTTATCTCCCGAGGGGTCCCAGAATGGGAGAGGGCACAGGCCGGGCTGAGGGACCCCCTTTTCCCTCCAAGTGCACAAATTTTTGTGCACCGGGCCTCTAGTTTAACTATAAAATGGAAGTTGCATTACTGCCTTCCTACCAACCACAATCATTTGTTTGAGTGGATTAATGAATATAAAAATATTTTTAAGCTATAAAGAATTATACTGTAAGTAAGATACTTTCAAGATAGTTTTGCTGCTTTGAGAACATTTAAAAATGGAATGATAGCTTAACTGTAGATATCATTTTCTTTCTATTCTAAAAAGGGGGGAAAGCATTTTTGTTTTTATAAAGACAACTTTTATATTTCTAAAGAATATATAATACTAGAGGCCCGGTGCACAAATTTGTGCAGGACCCCACCAAATTCATGCAAGGGTGGGGTCCCTTGGCCTGGCCAGCGATCGAGCCAATTGAGGCGGCAGGAGGTTGGCTGGCAGGGGAAGGGGCCATGGGAAGTTGGCCGCCCTGTTCAAGGTCATCAGCTGGCCAAGGAGGGAAGGCCACGAGAGGTTGGCTGCCCGGGTCGGGGACATCGGGCCAGCCGGCCGGGGTGGAGGGGCTGTGGGAGATAGGCCAGCTGGGGGGGGCGGGGGGGGGGAGAGGGTTGGCGCGGAAGGGGCCACAGGAGGTTGGCCAGCCGGTCTGATCAGAGCCATTGGGGCAGGCTGGCCAGGGGGTGGAGGCTGCGGGAGGTTGGCTGTGGGAGTGCACTGACCACCAGGCAGCTCCTGCGTTGAGCGTCTGCCCCCTGGTGGTCAGTGCGTATCACTGCAACTGGTCGTTCAGTTGTCTGGTCGTTTGGTCACTTAGGCTTTTATATAAATTTTAGTACACGGGGTCAACTTAGTGTAAAAAATATAATATCTCATTAAAGTATCTCTATAAATATAAAGAAGTGCTTTGTAAATTCTAAAGGAATATGTACATGTAAAGGTTAGCAATTTTTGCCACTTTGAAATGGGTGCTTACCTTCTCTTAGACGGTCCACTACAAAAGTAAAGCCTGTAGTTCTTGGATGTAAGACATATTCATATTTCTGAAGTCCATTCTTTTCAGCAAAATCATTACTTCGAGCCTTGCTGTTTTCTAAACAAAACAATAAACCATTAGAAGCCATAAAATAAAGAGAGATAATCTGAGGTAAGGAAACGCTACACAATTTGTTTAATAAAAATGGCAGTTAATTTTTCTGTAATTACTGACTACAGTATAGTGAGTCAAATGAGAAGATACAAACACTTAAGTAAATCCCTACCAAAGATCCTAGAATTATGTATTTATTGGAATTCTGAAAATTTTGTAAGGTATTAATAAACTTTTTATAATGATTTATAAATTCATCTTTAAAATTCTTTAAGAGATTTCATAAAAGTCCATATTCAGTGAATACTAAAATACAAATAAAATCCTAATAAATGAAAATTTTCATAAGATAGTCTTTACATAATAAAAATTGAAATACTAAAATATAAGAAGCTAATAAAACATAAAGGGATTTAGATATGCAAAAGAAATAACTAGCAATCTGCCAAACGTATATCAACTTTTTTCAACCCAATAATTTGGGGTTTTAACACAAAGTGAAATATCTTCCTTGCTCAGGCACAGAACATGCTAATATTACTAACCAAAACGAGTCCATAACAGATTGGGCACATGATTAGCACATCCTGTACAAACATCTGAATATGGTTTGGCTGAGTATAGTTACAAAGTAAAGTATGTGTTCTAACTGTTGGCAAAAACTTCTTTTTCCAATCCATGAGGTAACTTTATAAGTTCCAAGAAGAACCAAACCCATGATTCAGCAAATATATTTGGAAAAAGTAAAGTGTTCAGAAATCTGGCCTCAACCCCTGGGGGAGATCATGAAATAGCTTCTGATGACAGCAGATGTTAGAACCTGCAATCTTCAGCTGTATCCTGAAATGTATAGACTATTCCAAGTCACAAGAAAAAGACACACACACACACAACTTTCCTGGCAGTAAATTTAAGACCATGGAGTCCCCAAACCTAAAAACACCACGGATGGATTCAAAATATTCAGAGAACACTCCTAAAAAAGATGTGTTGTTGTTTAATAAATAAATGAGGAATTAAGTCACAGAACTAAATACCCAGAGATTCCCAGCAAGTCAAAAGTAAAGACCTAAACATGAAAAGTGGTAAGCTCCTTTCACATTCATTTGAGGAGAATATCCTGGGCATGGGAGTATAAAATACTACTTTATTGACAGCTTACATGATGAGGAAGCCCAGGGACACTAAAAGGATGAGTAGTTAACTACTCTTCACTTTGCTCTTCAACTCGTCACAGACTTTAGGGAACTGAAGACAAACTGAATTCTGTTGTAGAATGTGCATACAAATCCAAGTAGTTCTAAAATATACAGTCTCAATATGAGAAGGTAGAAATAACGAGAGACAGAGAGATTAGAGATGCAGATTTTTCCCTCCATCCCTGCTTCAGCTGCTCACGCCCAGACTCTGGGGTTACTGGTAACTGCACAAGCATCCCTCTTTCTGACCACAGCCTCCTGTCCTGTCACCTCACTCCCTGTAACACTCCAATGCCAGCACTCGCTTCCACTCCAATGGGCAGACAGGCCACTTTACTGTTCTCAAACCAGCCAGACATGTTCCCACCTCAGGGTCTGTGCATTTGTTCTTCCCTCTACCCAGAATGCCTTCTCCCCCAATGTCTGCATGGTTTTCTGGTTTGTTCATTTGGTTTCTACTTAAATCTAACCACCTTTTATAAAATAGCACACTACACCCCATCTTCTATGACTCTCCTTATCTTTATTTGTCTGCACAGCTTTATGAATGCCTAACATATTTTTATTAACTTAATTTTTTATCTAGCTTTCCTCATAGAATTTAAGCTTCATGAAAGTAGGAACTTTGTCTTGTATATAAAGTTCCAAACACTCATATATAAATAAAGAAGTTTTATGTACAAGGGTGTTTAATTGCATGTAATGTTTGTATTTGTTAAAACCAAGAAAATCTTTCCAAGTCAGAGAAACAGAACCCAAAATTATGGTATACAAATTATGGTTAATTTTATGTGTCAAATTGGCCAAACATTATTCCAGAGGTTTCTGTGAAGATATTTTTGATGAGATTAATATTTAAACCAGTAGGCTTTCAGTAAAGCAGATTACTCTCCATAATGTGAGTGGGCCTCACCTCTCTCTCTTTCTCTACATGCACACACACATACACACACATATCCTTTTGGTTCTGTTTTTTAGGACAACACTTACTAATCCTATATAATAAAGAGCTAAAATGCTAATTAGGCTGAACAGAACAACCAGACAGGGCTGTGAGGGACAAGCCCCTTGCATGAATTTTGTGCATCAGGCCTCTAGTAACCAATATAATAGAAAAAGAAAAAAAACTAGCCAATTTTTAAAATATGTTTTCAAAAAATGAATAATGATGTGAGAGATTACAATATAAGTACAAAGAAAATTATAATTCTAATTTTCCAATTTTGTTTAAAAGTATATGTATGTTTATATGCTCATACATATGCCTGTGTGTGTGTGTGTGAGTAACCAAATGACACAAAAACAGTGGAGTAAATTCAAAATAGTGTTTCTTTATGGGCAGGAGGATTAGAGTAATTCTTGTACTTCTATATGTCTAAATTTCTCCAAATTAACATAAATTACTTCCATAAGCAAGAAACAAGTTATAACCAACAGTAACATATGAAGGTAGAATATATGTTAAATATACTTATTTGAAAATGTGCAAGCAAGCTGGATTCAGAACTTCAAGAGGATTACAAAACATTATTCTCTTTGGGCTTAAGAACCCAAATTTCAAGTTAACTGTGGTTAACTAAAAACACCTTTGAATTAATAGACACTTTTTGAAAACTGAAAGGATTTTGTATTTTGGTAGCTACTCGAAAAAATACGTTTATCCCAACTTCAAACTATCTGTATAATACTGTTTTTTTAAAAAAAAGCTTTTTAAGGTTTCAGAATTGGTCTGTTTTCTCTATTTGACAAACAGTTTGGCTTTTGCAAGTTAGCCTTACAAATGTATATGCCATTTTAACTTAAAAATATGCAACTACATCATGTAATGGTGAGTACTCTGGACCCTGAAAATATGCAACTAGATGTTAATTAAGTTCATCACCTAAAAAAACCACTTGAGAAAATATAAACTGAAAAAAGTTTAAAATGTATATTGTGTGGGCTCTGAAGGTCTAATGTATGAACATTTAAATCTAATGTACCAAAGAGCAGCAACCCGGGAGCTCTCACTCCATTAGCTTTTAATTATTAAATAACTTCCAAAGTCCCCATTCTTAGTGCATTTTGGCATTCACAAGTATAAATTAATCTATCATTTCAGTAAGTGATACACTAATATAGCAATTTAAAACCCAAATTTAAGTACTGTTCATTGTAAGTATTATAAAACTTAAATATGGCTCTGTCCATTTTAAGTTCCCAGTGATAGTTTACCTCTGGTAATCAATCAACTTACAATATATTTTCAAGCTTACACAATATTATCCTCAGTGATCCAACTACTTTTAGAATTTTAGCTATAAAAATCAAATACAACTATACAGTAAGCATATATTTAGTATATAATACTAGTACATTAAAACTGCCATGGTTCATGTAGCTCAGTTCCATCTGCAATAGATGAGTCAAAGAGTTCTTACTTGCTATCAGTGTTTCCCAAAATACTTTTATTTCCTGTATTGACACAGTATGGCTTAATCACCCATTCACTTCCTTAAATAGTTGTGTAATTTGTATTTTTCATTGAATTCTCTTTTTGGTACTAGTTCCATACATTACTATGTCCAGAGAGTGAATTAGTATGTTCATTTACATATTCTCCTCTCTTAAGCTCTAAGTTGCCCTTCTTAGTAGCTCTTAGTTTCCTCGATCTGGTGTTGAGGATTTGGAAGACAACTTCATTTGCCATCTCTCCATACTATGTGATTTTTAGATTTTAGTTCTGTCCTAATTCAGTCTGTCTTCCTTTGTACAGCAGACCTTCATCCACTGGATCAGGGGTCCTCAAACTACGGCCCGCGGGCCACATGCAAATACAAATATTGTATCTGTTCCCGTTTTGTTTTTTTTACTTCAAAATAAGATATGTGCAGTGTGCATAGGAATTTGTTCATAGTTTTTTTTTTAAACTATAGTCCGGCCCTCCAACGGTCTGAGGGACAGTGAACTGGCCCCCTGTTTAAAAAGTTTGAGGACCCCTGCACTGGATCCTCCTCAAATTCTGCTGTATCTTTCTTGAAGTAACCAGGGTATTAACAGTTTGCAAATTTTGCTCTTTTGAATGGAAGAATTCTATAGAACTGCTTCTTGTCCAAGCTTACCTCCCCCCAACCCACACCCACATTCAACCAGAGCAGTTCTTCAATCCAGTGGTCGCCAACCTTTCGGACCTCACAGACCACCAGTGGGTCCACGGACCACCAGTTGGCGACCGCTGCTTCAATCTGTCTTAAATCCTAACCTACAACAAAAGGCTTCATCTACAGAAATCACTCGTGGTTTAAAACATTGAAAACTACTGGCTTAGCAAAGATGAAAGAATGCATTTTATTTTTAATCTCTTAAAGAACTTGTGGAAATCCAATAGTATTCTTGGCCTATGTAGTTTGATATCTGGGCAGGTAGGAAGTCCTAACTATGTCTTTCTGTGTCCATTCCATAACTCAATTATGGCTGAATTTTACTGAGAAAGAACAAAGCATTTCTTGCTTATATTAAAGATAAGGCTTTAAAATAACTTAAATCAACAATAAATGAAATTGGTTACTATCACATGCTTTTCTAATAAGAAGGAAGTGGAGAAAAAAAAGGTCTAATGGATAAGTATATCTAGGAAGAGAACAGAAAATATAAAGAACAGGAAGGGGGTTCTCTTCTTTCTCAAGATTACTTTGGCTATTCAGAGCTTTTGTGGTTTCATACACATTACATAAAAGGCTGGTATCTACAATATATACTGAGACTCAAAATAGAAAGCTCTAGGATAGCAAGTATATGTAATAATGATCTCCAGGGTTGTCCGTCATATATTCTGGGGAAGAAGCAGTTTAGAACAGTGGTTGCCAACCTTTCAGACCTCACGGACCACCAGTGGTCCATGGACCACCAGTTGGCGACCGCTGGTTTAGACTAGATGATTCCTAAGTTCCTTTAGTTTTTAAAATTCTGTAATCCAAACCCAGGCTACCTTACCTGTGAGATCAGTCCCTTCTGGGAATATGAGGAGTTGAAGTGGTTCACGGATATCACAAAAATAATCAAGCATGTCTTCGAAATGGCTCTTGTCATCCTTCCATTTCCTATGAATGAAGATATAGGCAGCAGCTTGCATGGCCCAACCTAGGATCAATTTAACAAGAATTTACATACAATTTTATTGCCAACATCCATATTATTGAATATAATATGGATGTTTTTGTTTACCATGATTTACTACAATAATAAGAATATCATACTTTAAACTCAGCACAGATCTTGAGTTAAATTAACACATACACCAGAAAATATTCTTAAAGGAGTTTGTTAAATTCTGGGGTTTACCAAATTCTCAAAAACCTCTTTTCAAGACAAACCTAGCTATTAGAATATCAAAAAAACAACAAAACAAAACACAAACCTTCCCTAATATTTATCAGTAACTCAACCAAAGTTTTAACCATCATAATTAAATACAGTGGGGCCTTGACTTACGAGTGTCCCAGCTAACGAGTTTTTTGAGATACCAGCTGTCTCTCCGCCGATTTTTTGCATTGAGTTGATAGAGTAATTTGAGTTAACGAGCTCAGTCTCGGAACGAATTAAACTCGTAAGTCAAGGCCCCACTGTAGATATTTTAACCAAGCTACCTACAAGAGATATTAGACTATCAGATTGTTCTCAAATCATGTATACGAGCACACTTTAATATTCCACTTCTGTACTACTCAATCTCTAAATTCAACAGCTATTTTCAATGCTAGCCATTTCTTTAGATTTTATTTAAAAGAGAAAATGTGCAGTGGCTATAAACATGTTCATCATAGTATATACGTTGTGATCACATTCCCTTTCTCTAGGCAAATCAACCTTGTCACCAAAGAGGCAGCCCTAAAGGAGTTGTGTTTTATCCAACAGCCATCCCTCCCTGGCCAGAAATTACTAGATATACTGTGGTAAATACCTAACTTAAGTCATCCAATCTAAAGTCTATTTAACAGTCTATGGAACATGAAATGCTTGGCCCAAACACATGAACTATCTTAGCCAATAGAATGTTCTCAGAAATTTTGCCTGGGACCATGGATAAAACAAGTCAGTAATATAGTATATGTAAATGCAAATGGATGAACAAAAAAGCAGATAACAGAGACAATAGCAGCTAGGCAAGATAAAGATAGTATACTGTAGTAAATATCTAAAAAAAATCTTGCAGCTGAGGTGCCTAAAGTTTATTGGCTTCTTTGCGTATCAGTGTTTCTTGTATCTTACTAGAGGTCTGGTGCATGAAATTCGTGCACAGGTAGAGTCCCTAGGCCTGGCTGGTGATTAGAGCTAGTCGGGGCCTTCCTTCCCCCGGCTACTGGCCAGGGCTTTCCTTCGTTCTGTGCTGCCCCCTGGTGGTCAGCTCACGTCATAGCGAGCAGTCAAACTCCCAGTTAGTCAAACTCCCGAGGGGACAATTTGCATATTAGCCTTTTATTATATAGGATAGGATGTCCTTCTATTAGTCCTCCTGAAGGAATTTCAAGAAATGTTTGAGTTTTAGCATTCCTGAAATGTATTTGTTCTCAATTTTGGAGGCTACTAAAGCTGAAAACAAAATTCCAAATTCCAAATCATTTTCCCCTCAGAATTTCAAATTTAATTTCCACTGTTTTCTATCATCTAATAAGGCTCACAAGAAGTCTGACATCGCCAGAACCGGTTTGGCTCAGTGGATAGAGCGTCAGCCTGTGGACTCAAGGATCCCGGGTTCAATTCCGGTCAAGGGCATGTACCTTGGTTGCGGGCACATCCCCAGTGGGAGGCGTGCAGGAGGCAGCTGATCGATGTTTCTCTCTCATCGATGTTTCTGGCTCTCTATCCCTCTCCCTTCCTCTCTGTAAAAAATCAATAAAATATATTAAAAAAAAAAAAAAGAAGTCTGACATTATCCTGATTGGTGTAGATAACCCAATTCCTTTCCTCTGGAAGCTTTAATGATCAATTTTTAAATATATTTTTTTCCTCTTCATTCTCTCAACCTTGCTGTCCGGAGCTTTTGTTAAATGTTAAAACTTCTGGAACTGTCCTCTCATACTTTTCATCTCCTTTCATTTTGCATTCTGTTCAAAGGAAATCCCTTGGCTTGATCATTCAACTCACTAATTTGATCTCAGTTGTGATGGCCTACTAATTGAGCTTATTGCAGCAATCATCTCTTTAATTTTCAAGATTTACACTTGGTTCTTTTTCAATAGTAGCCAAAATTTATGGACAAATAGCAAAAAAATGTTAATGCAAATACAACAGTTTTGCATTTTAACCGTTTTGCATATTAACAACTTTAATAAAAATATTTATTGAATGATTACCATGTGCCTAGTACTGTTCTAAGCATTTTTCTTTAATTCAATTAGTTCTCAAGACAGCTTTATGAATTAGGTAAAATCATCATCCCTCTTTTATGGATAAGGAAACTGAGGCACATTTGAGATTCAAAGAACTAACCAAGTGGTAACACCAGGTTTCAAATGTAGGCAGTCTGACTCCAAAGCTGATGTTTTTAACCAGTGTACTAAACAGCAATATATACCTGAATCTCTCTAAGGGTACTTATTAAACATAGTGACATCATTTACTCAGAGAATTTAGCTACTCCTTAGAGGCTAAACTTGGCATTTTTTAAGTACTAGACTATCTTTAAAGCTGTGCATTTTCCTCAAATGTCAGTTCTGAATTGTCTTCGTCTTTGTAAAGGATGTTCTACCATTGAACAATACTGGCAGACAGACTGTATTTCTTTCATCCAAGTGAGGGTATCTGTTGCTCCCTTAGGGGAGGGAGTAGTAGCAAGATCTGTGGAGCTGTGCCATAAAACTCTTCTAATGCTCTGTATGTTTCAGGAATCTCAAAGGGAAGTCAAATGGCTGAATCAGTCAGCCTCTTGGACCTCTCCTTTGAGGATATGATTCTTCCCCTTGGTGCCTCTGCCTTGTCGTGTTCCATTTATACATCACTAATGCTTTTGAATTTTTAATGCTTTTAGCTTAAACATTTTTTCCCCCTTTCATAAATATCACAGGAACACCTCGTGAAGTCCCCCCCTCTCTCATTTCATTGCCATCAGGCATATTTTATTCGTTTAAAGCAATATCCAGATATTTCTTAACATTTAAAATCTTAAAATGTACATTTTTATGATATTTATTTCATAAGTCTGTGAGCTGATAAATGACAGTGCAACTGATCATGTCATTTGAAATTAGGCTATATACTAGTAACTTGACTTTTCCATACGTTTCCATTAAAGGACATTCCCTCTATCACCTCAATTTCTCAGACAAGGGCTAGGAGCTGGCAAGTTGATAAAGACAGATTCTGTGCATGCTGGCGTGGTATTGCTACTATCTTCTTTCTAAGGCCCCATTTACGTTATCAGCATTGCCTTCTCAAGTAGACAGAATTCTGACCTCCAGCACTGTGAGACAGTAAAGATGTGCTGTTGAAGCCACTCCATTACAAGCAGTAACAGGAAAGTGATACAGAGGATAAGCAGAGCCCAAGTCTTAGTTTCTAGTACTATTCATTTTTTAATTTTTGCTAGCAATTGATGGTGTCACTTTCATTGCTTTTATTGTTATTTTTTGTTTCAATATTCCAAAACTTTAATTTGCATTATACTAATTAACATAGTAACTTTTTGTTTTTATTCAATTTATTTTAATTTTCACTTGACATACAATATTATTAGTTTCAGGTATAAAACAGAGTGATTAGACATTTATATAACTTACAAAGTGATCACCTCAATAAGTTCAGGATCCACCTAGCACCATACACTTATTAAATATTATTGACTATTTTCCCTATGCTGTATTTTAGCTCCCTGTGACTTTATAACTGCCAATGTGTACTTCTTAATCCTTTCACCTTTCACACCCATCCCTGGACCCTCTCCCATCTGGTTACCATCAATTAAGTTTATTTTTTAGATTCCACATATAAGTGAAATCATACGGTATTTGTCTTTCTCTGACTTATTTCACATAGCATAATAGCCTCTAGCTCCATCCATGTTGTCACAAATGGCAAAATTACATTCTTTTTTATGGCTGAGTAATATTCCATTATATATATATATATATATATATGTACACACACTACCTCTTCTTTATCCATTCAGCTACAGATGGACACTTAGGCTGCTTCCATATCGTGGCTATTGTAAATAATGCTGCAATGAATATAGGTGTGCATATATCTTTTTGATTAGTATTTTGGATTTCTTTGGATAATACTAGTGGTGGAATTGCTGGGTCACATGGTAGTCTATTTCTAATTTTTTGAGGAACATCCATACTCTTTTCCACAGTGGCTGCACCAATCTGCATTCCTATTAACAGTGCATGAGGATTCCATTTTCCCTACATCCTCTCTAACACTTGTTTGTTGATTTATAGATGATAGCATTCTGACAAGTGTGTGATGATATCTCATTGTGGTTTTAATTTGCATTTTCCTGATGAGCATCTTTTTATATGTCTATTGGCCATCTGTATGTCCCGTTGGGAAAAATGTCTGTTCAGGTCCTCTGCCCATTTTAAAAATCAGATTTTTGGGGGGTTTTTTTGGTGTTAACTTGTAATATCCTTACTTTTTTTTATATTAACCCTTTAAAGGATGTATCACTGGCAAATATCTTCTTCCTTTCATTCAGTGGATTATCTTTTCATTTTGTTGATGGTTCCCTCTGCTGTGCAAACACTTTTAGTTTGACTTAGTCCCATTTATTTCCACCCCTCCCTCCCCCAATTGTCTAAGGAAACATACCACCCCTTCCAAAAAAAAATTTAAGACCAATGTCAAAGAACTTGTTGCCTATTTTCTTCTGGAGTTTTATGGTTACAGGACTTAATTTAAGTCTTTAATCCATTTTGAGTTTATTCTTGTATATGTATAAAAAAGTGATCAGTTTCTTTTTTCTTTTTTTTTTGCATGTATGTATCTGGTTTTCTCAACATCACATGGGTTTATTTCTGGGTTCTTTATTCTGTTCCATTGATCTATTTTTATGCTAGTACCATGTTGTTTTCAGTACTATAGTATAATTTGAAATCGGGTAGCATTATACTTCCACCTTTGTTATTCTTTCTCAAGAC